ATACAGTGTTTTCTCATTTTTTTTTAAGAAAACACATAGAATTATCTATTTTTGAATTTTTATTCATTTTATTCATTTTATATATTATTACTATATATTTTATTTAATTTTTTATTTGTTTAAGTTTTAGTGAATTTTCTTATTTTGGGATTTTTTAATTCTTTTAAGTTTGTATTATTTTTAATATTTTCCGTATTTTTATATTTCGTTATTTTATGATTTTTTTTTTTGTAAATCTTTATGATTTTTATGAATTTTTAATGAATTTATAGTTTTCTATATTTTCTATTTATTTATTAATATAAAAATTAAAAAAAAGTAAACCGACACATCATCGTTTTTGCACAGTACTGATCACATTTTTGACTTGATGCACAAGTAAACTAGGTTGGCGCTTTAATATGCTAAATTTTGCCAATTTGAATTTTTTAAGTGCTTGTAAATATTATTAGGGTTTAAAGTGTAAGTGACTGCTATCTTAAAGATTTTTTATGCGACTTTCGTCATAAATATTCATTTCAAAGAATTTATAAACAAAGTAGATGCAAATGTATATACAGTAATTGTTTAAATAATATTATAATTTTTAATGTTATTTTATACATCCTCATAAACTCAAGATGATAATAGAGATATAGCATAATGACTTAAGTGACAGTGTTAAAAATATTAAATACTCGTGATGAATTCGAATTAAGAAGTGGTGGCTGGAGACACTGATGGATACGTGGTGGGGTTTGGATGGTGATTTCAAATGATGGTTGGAAAATTAAGAAACATGATCTTTTTTTGCCCTAAGATTTTTCTGGCTAAGAATGACAATGTAACAAGTGAAATAAGAGCCAGAGTGTATCAACTTTGAGTTTGGAATACTTTGAACAATTTTGATAATTACACAGTATAACACATGCATCTGTTCTACAATCTGGAATAGAGTTTGGGCTGCAACGCATCATCAACGGTATTGACTGTTGTTGTGGTTGGCGAAAGTTCTCTCGTGCTGATGGTGATAACTTCTTATGAAAAGGTCAATTTCTAGGAAGATAATGTTCTGAAAATTATGGAACAGAGCTAAAATTTTTGAAACAGAAAAAAGGAAAAATGATTCAAAAATCTATGAAGTTTTCATAAGAAGATCCATGACTTGAATTTTGAGATTTATGATCAAATCTAACTTTTGGAAGCATTTGGTTTAGATTCAAAAGCATATATACAATTACGTTACAGACGTAAGTTGTTAGCTTACAAGAAATGCAGATTAGCTGACTCCTAAATTTTTATAGCATTGATATCATTTAAAAATTAATATGAATTCAGAATTACAATTGTATAATAATTCTCATACAAAAATTGAGTAAACCACACATTAGTGGTCTAGTAATTGGCGAATTTCAATAAGCTAAACTACATAATTTGAAGTAACCCAAAATATTAAACATGTGTTGGGCATACGGATATGAAATCATATTTTAGACCTAATTTGAATTCTTAAAAGAGAATTTATCTGTAAGTTTCACATACCTTGAAAAATTGATTTGATCATTCCATAATCCGTCTAGGATATCTATGGATGGATTAATAGAAAAATACTGATATAAATATATTTCTAGTTGTAAGCTAGATATATAAATATTATGCAAATAATACTAACTAATTTTCTATTTTTTCTATCTATACTATTATTTGCGAAGTGATTTTTCGCAACGGAACTCTCACGTTAAAAGTTGGAGCGGTTAATATCGTTTATACCCTTAGACCTTAGTGAATAAAATATATAAATCAGCCAAAATTAAAAACGAATTTAATATTTATTTGACTAGATAAGTGGTTTAAATTATTAATAATGATAAGAATTATCTATAATCTAAATATATATTTTAAAAGAAAAAAGGTAATTCCTATATATATTGCGTTGTTATCCAGAAAATATATGATAAAAAAATTCAAAAACAGAAAACACATAAATAAATATTCATAAAGTAATTTTAATTGTATATAATTGAAAAGAGATATTGAAAAATTCATAATACGTAATTATTTTTAAAATATAAGAATATAATATATAGTATAATGATATATATTTTTGTAGTTATTTTTCGCCTCTGAATCACACCTTAAGATTAATTTATTTTTATATTTTATATAGTTAAAATTAAAATATGAATTAATCATAATAAAATAAAATATCATTCAAAAATAAAAAAAATACGTGTTTGACAAAAATAAATTCAAATTATGTATTATTATCCAATTATCTAAACTAATATTATTCTTTTTGTAAGATCAATTTTTGAATGTATATTTCTCGATTTAATTTTTTAAATTGAAAGATATATTTTTATATTTTTTATAAATTAAGGAAAAATAAAATAAACTTTAGATTTTTTAAATTGACTTAAAGATAATTAAGCCCGCATGTGCAGACAAAACACTTAGTATCATTTTATACAGGGACCAATGAAATACTTTCTGGAATATTTCTTCTCCTTCCATCAAAGAAGAAGGAAAAACGAGAGAGCGGTAATGTTATAAATAATAATTGTTATTCTTTGACTAGTTCATTATCATTCGATAAATGATAAACTATTAATCGAAAGTGAGAGAAATAGATAGAGCATAAAGAAAAGCTCAGTCAAAAAAAAAAAGTACGTAGCATCAAATGGTTGATTGAGTGGAAGAAATTGTTTGAGTTCCACTAGAGGATTTCATGACAGCAGTATTCATTTCAAATTTTACTCTATTTCTCATTGGTGCGGTGATGTATGCTTAAACTTTGATATATGAATTGATGATATCCAAGATGCATATATAGTTTTAGTATAAGTTTGAGAATTCGCAATGCATTTTTATTTATGAATCTTCTCTATTAAAAGAGAAGTACCAAATTTATCTACTATTTAGAAGTCATATTGGACCATGTCATTAATTATTTAATTTGACATATTTTGATTGTTACATTAACCAGTCAAATATATATTATTTTTAAAATATCTTAATAATTAATAAATATATTAATAATAAATGAATTTAAATACAACAAAATTGTTGAAAAAATCTAACAAGATCTTACCAAAAATTTAAATATTATTTTTATAAAATAAGTATTTCTTTATTTACTTATTATATATAATTATAGTTAAAGATAAAATATAAATCATATATTTAAAAATTTTTAGTTATATATTTATAAAATAAAAATATACCTGCACGAATGTGCGGGTGAAACTCTAGTAATAGACTTAAATGAAAATGACGAGCACAAAAAATATATTTCTTACTCAGAAAACTAAATATATGTAATTGCATTATGAAAAATTACGCAGTTGACCCGTACGGACATAGCTCTGTAATAGTTTCCTCAGCTATTTTAGATAAACATTCACACAACAAATCTACAAAAGGAGATGTTAGATTATATTGACAAAAGGGTTATGTTCTTCTTCTTTCTCAAACAAAGGTTTATGTTCTTAAATGGTTAAGTTCTAGAAAATATTTTTGATCCAACATAAGTTTTATAAATGATTTACCAAATGCGGAATTTTGTTGCTATATAGAAAAACGCTTAGTTAGTCAATTATAAACTGCTTGTTTGTTGACAAAAAAAAATCTGCTTGTTTCAAAACAGCATATTCTGAGAATATTATCAATTTATATACCATGTGATCCAATTTGTAAAGAAAACATTAAGGACAATAAATTAAACTACGAGTATTATAGTTCCTATCTGATTATACGGATAAACATTGAAACTAAGTTAAGTAATTAAAATTCAAAAAATAAACTGTTCTTGAAATTAAAAGAAATTTTAAGTAACTACAGTAGGCTGTTCTTGAAGTGAAAAAAAACTACTCATATCTCTTTTACTAATAACAAAAATCTTTAGTCAACATCATCAAACTCTTTAAAAAAATCATCAAACTCGTGTTTTGTTTATCGTCAATCGTTATAACGTCTTTTTGACAAATGACAAATATGGCGCCTAACTTCTTTATACCATAGACACGTGGCCACGTGTCTTCACGTTGTAGCTTTGTCTGTTTGGAAAATGCTTTCCATGTTGATGATACCTAAGATACATTGAACAGTTTTGTTGTCCTCTCAACTTCGCTTTTTCAAAAAACAAAAATCAAGTTCTATCATCCACCCACTCAGTTACATGTGTCCTACCTTTTATTCTAAACACTACAACATTTGGCATATATACATTTCATAAGAGAACGCGTCAACCAAAAAAAACGTGTAATAAAATCTCTCTACTATCTTTTACCAGTTCACCGATTACATGGTTTATGTTTAACAATATTCGCTAAATATATCTTTTTGTGTTCTAAATCTTGGTCTTTTAGGTAGACAGTTTCATTCTGGTCAAATCAATGAAAAACCCAACACCTTTTATGACCTAAACGTCCATTTACTCGGTCTAAACAGTAGATTAATATATAACAACTATTCATTTAAAGAAAATGGAAATTATACTATAAAACTATGCACTTTACACCAAATTTTAGTTTACATTAAATAAATATGTAAAGCGGCAATACAATAAAAACTCAATTAACTCACATTAGATTCTAAATATTTACTCATATCCTATTGCAATTATCTAACAATACATTAGTGCTTGAACATTTCTGTCGTTAATTCATGCCCCAAAGTCCCAAACAAAAAGGCATCGTTTTTCTTACATCAAATTATTATTTTTGCATAGTAAATACTTCAAAAGCTAGTGAACCATATACTAATAAATAAATAATATCACTGACAACATACAAAATAGTACGAGGATGAGCCAAATATACTCTCATGTAGGTTCAATGAACCAAAGGGATTTGCGTAAATTACGACGATGTAACTGACACACGTGTCACATTTCAAAAGTGTTTAGAGATAAGCACAAAAGTGGGTCCCAGTTTCAGTACACACGTTAATTCGCAGCGGTGGATTCCATATATATAAGTAGCTTATGACCCAAACCTTATCGTTCATATTTGAATAATACTATTGAAAGACATACTTGCTGCAATAGTTTCCTCATAGATAAGTTGAACAAGAAAAAAAAGAGAGGGGGTTGAAGAGATGGGTATCCAAGAAACCGATCCATTAGTCCAATTGAGTCTACCACCGGGTTTCCGGTTTTACCCGACCGATGAAGAGCTTATGGTTCAATATCTATGCAGAAAAGCAGCCGGTTGTGATTTCTCTCTGCAGCTTATTGCTGAAATCGATCTCTACAAGTTCGATCCTTGGGTCTTACCAAGTAAGTACACCAAACCGGTTCAGTTTTTAAGTTCTTGAAAATAAAAACACTTTGTTTTTACATATTCGTTGTTTTGGTTTTGTGATTTTAGATAAGGCACTATTCGGAGAAAAAGAATGGTATTTTTTTAGTCCGAGGGATAGAAAATACCCAAACGGGTCAAGACCGAACCGGGTAGCTGGATCGGGTTATTGGAAAGCTACGGGTACGGATAAAATCATCTCGACCGAAGGAAAGAGGGTAGGTATCAAGAAAGCTTTGGTGTTTTACATCGGAAAAGCACCGAAAGGCACTAAAACCAATTGGATCATGCACGAGTATCGCCTCCTTGAACCCTCTCGTAGAAACGGAAGCTCTAAGGTAACACAACAAAAATGCAAAATATCTATAAAAAAAATAATTTCATGTTAGGGAAATTCACTTGTTATTTATCACTAATTATTATTATTATTATATTTTGCAGTTAGATGATTGGGTTCTATGTCGAATATACAAGAAGCAATCTAGCGCACAGAAACAAGCTTACGAAAATGTAGTCACGAGTACTAGAGAGCTTAGCCATAATGGTACTTCTTCACCAACGTCGTCTTCTTCTCACTTTGAAGACGTTCTTGATTCATTACATCCTGAGACACACAACAGAAGTTTCGAGTATGCTAATCCAAACGGGTTCTCTTCACTTAGACGGGACCTAACCGGAGAGAAAACCGGGTTCAATGGTTTAGCAGATGCGTCGAGCGTCGATTGGGGTAGTTTAGTAGGTAATGTGGTGCATAACTCGGGTACAGAACTCGGAATGAGTCATGTTGTTCCTAGTCTCGAGTTTAACTCTGGCTACCTGAAGATGGAGGAAGAGTTTAACAACCCGGACGACTTTGGCTTTGCTCAAAATGGTTATGGTATTGACTCGGTCGGGTTTGGGTATCAAGGGCCAGTTGGTGGGTTTGGTTATATATGATGATGCAAGGCTGACGCACTAAAAAGAGAGAATTTGAGTTTTAAATTTTGTTTTTTCTTCTGTCAAATGTTATGTATTTGGATTCCAATTCTTTTTGGGTTTTAGAGGCAGGCTTGAAGATTTCTGTAGATGTACATTTGTACTAAGTATATATATTTAATGAATTTGCATATTGATATGGTCGGTGCTACTTAGAATCAGTAACGGTCCTGAGGAGAATACAAATAAGCATAGGCTTCTGCCTTTTTTTTATGTGAAATATCCGTCACAGTATTTGACAAAACATTAATTAGTTTAGTAGTTAATGAAACTCAAAACAGAGATGTATATAACGGATTCAATCCTAACCACAACAAATATTCAGGGTTGATACTATTTAGAATCGATGGTTAACGTTCAAACGTGATAATACTTGGTATACTAAGAAACACCCAACAAATCAAGAGACTTATCGACTATAGGCTTGAATGATGCAACCTGTTTAGCTGAAATTACACGTGTGGCCTGGGTTAACGTTGGCTTGCTTGTTTGACCAGATCACAGTGAAATTCTACACCGTACAAGTTCCAAACACGTTCTGGTTGTTCTTGTCGATCGACCCTGCTCGCTTGCATGCATTTACTTGCATTTAGTTGCTTAAAATTTTAAATTACTAATAATATATTCACCCATTTTCACAAGTTTTTTTCTATCTAATTGTAGTAACTAGTAAGTACTTGTAAGTTTTATTCAAACTTTAATACTATATATGCTAAGATAGGAAGTGTCGAAGTCCAAATTTAATACACTTTAAAAAACACTCATCAAATAGTTAATTACATAATCATATATCTTTATTTTGGATATATAATGATCAAATACTTTCAATATATGTGATAGTGATTAACAACTTCACGGATAAAGATTCTACGACGTAGCTCCCTATGTAACACTCGGATCGACAAACTATTTTTCATAGATGATAGCTTTGATGGATAAGCTCTAGCTTTGCGCATCGTACGAACACAACAAACTGATTTGACTACATCACCTAAAATTTCTGATAAGTCTTATATCTTATAATCTGTTTCATTAAGAATCAAAAGTTAAACCTGATATACAAGTTTTTAACTTTGATGACTAAGACAGGTATTAGCATTATTTATATTAATATAGATTTCATAATAATTTGCACTGTGGGATTCCTAACACGCTCTGAGATAAAACTCTTGTTGCCCATAAAACTGAATCCCTATTTACGATCGGCAACATATTATACACGAACATCATGGTCCACATCATATCCTATTTGCCATCCCAACAAAATTTGTTTGGTGTTAATGTGTTATGCTTTGAACACAAAACCTAAATAACAAATAAATCGATTCATGTTTTTGTTTATTTACTCAGTCCTATCACATTATTCTATATATGTGGGACAGTGGGAGTCCGAATAATTTTTTGCATAAATACTGAAGGATTGCATGGCCAAATTTCAACTAATTTATTTGTACAAACAAACGTAGATAACAAAATCATAGATATGCATGGATTATCTATTTGCATATAATAATCTCACACATGTTTTTCTTTATAAATTTCAAATCATGTTACTTGATAACAAGCTATTTCACATAATATGTTTAGATCATATATACGAGGTACACCAGATTTATTTAAGGTTTTATCACAATTTTGTTTTTGTTTTTGCCACGTTCTTCTCTAAAAATTAGTTATATTTAGAAAATACAGCTAACTGACATTTGTAAACTGTATTTTTACGTATTAATCAACTGGTGGCTAAGCCTCAAAGTATACGCAATGTCCATAAATCATAAAAATGACATTTGTGGCTACATCCACGAAAAATGCATTTAACCAAGACAATGTTTTTAATTTATCTGTTTAGTTTGTGGTATTTGCACATGTGTGATCTATCCGGTGGTTCGAGAAGCTCACTAATTATATCAAATAAAGCAGAAGATCAAGGAGCGGTCCTTAATCACTTTCCTAAATAAGCTTAAAAATAAGGGATGATTTAGCAAAAGTGAAATTTCCCCCAACTAGAAGAATCCTTCAATTCTTTAATACGGTATTTATTTAAGTTATTTAATAAACTCTGGACATATATACCCTTTACCTAGCTGTATTGAATACATACGCGTGACGCATGCTGTACGTATTAATTTTACGCTCTGAATTCTGAACCTCTATATAGTCATCCGAACTCCTAAGAGCACCCCCATCAAAGGTTTAGATGGGGGGTTCACACACTTTTCAACACAAAAAAACTATTAAAATAAGAAAACCTTATATTCCCCTCTCTCCTAAAACTCTCTCTAGTGATCCCCTCTCTCATGAGGTTCATCACTGTAGCGCGGGCCACACGACACGTGGCGGCCCGCGATTGGTCTATCTTTTTTTTTTTTTTTTTTTTAAAAAAAAAAAAAAAAAAAAAAAAAAAAAAAATT